GGCAGGGCTTATCTGTTCTGTTAAAGTAATTACTAAGCAATAGGGAATATTAAAATCTAACACTGAAATCTGAGAACAACTAAATTCTGATTAAGTAAGTTTTTGTGGGATGACAACCCTGAGAAACTAACAAGAATTTGTATTTCTTCCATGCTCCAAATGAGAGAATAGTAAGCAGCCTGACCTCTGTCTTTATGAAGCTTATAGTGGTGTTTGTAATTTTTTTTTTAAAAGACATGTTTTTCCCAGAGAAAGGGAGAAAAATGAGGATTCTTTGGGTTTCATTTATGCTTGACTTATTATCTCCTTGATATACTGTGTTTGGATATCCTATGTTTTAAGAGAGGCTGCCCAGCATGGAGTGGGGTTGGGGACACAGTCTATGGAATCAGAGTGACATGGAGATCAACCCTGGCCCTGCTTAGTCATGTTAGGGTTTTAGGCAAGTTACCTAACCTCTCTGAGCTCTAGTTTCTTCATAGAATTCCTATTTCACAGCTTGGGAGAAATAAGCAGGGTAATGTATATCTGATATATAACAAGTCTTCCATACATGGTATTTTTTTTTTACATGATATTTTTAATGGTTAAAATATTGGACAAAGATGATAAAAGAGGAAGGGTACATCTGGGGAAGATGTTTTTAAAAATTGGATGTGAACCTGGCAAGGAAGAAATGAGGTAGAAGGCTAAGAAAATAGTATTATAGTTTTGAAAACCTACAGACTTATTGAAGCTTCAGTTAATTGGAATACTTTCAGCTGAATTGAATAGTTATAACTACTTCTAACAATGAAATAGTCTCTCCAGATTAAATCTCTATATTCCCTAGCAAAGCATTTCACTTAGCTGCCATCGATATCTGTTAAATCTTAGTGGATAAACATTTAAAAATCTCATTTTTTTTCTAAAGCATATAGTCTTTTTTTCCCCATCTTATTGCAAGCAACTGAATATATTTTCTAATTATACTATGCAGCAAATAATTTATTCTGGAGCACTGCTATATAAAAATTCATGCCTAGCCAGGTGTGTTGAGGGCATGTATTTGTCAGAGTTGGAATAAAAACTCTAGTCTCAGAAAATTTTATGATCTGTAGCAGCAGCTCAGCCAGAAGCACTTTTCCTGCAAGCTACCAATGTAAGCAGCTGTGGCTGATTATGACACGTGGCAAATTGGGCAAATTTGTTTATTTCTTCCAAGCTGACTGGTAACAGGGAAGGTAAATGCACTCTGGAAACAATGACCTTGAAAAACTGCCCGTGGGAAAACAGCCATCAGTCCTGGCTTTGTGGTCTTTCTCCACCTCTGGCTGAATCAGGTGCCTTTCCTAAGCCTCAGCAGGTGGCAGCAACATCTGGGGCAACTGTTATCTAATGCCACCTGGACTTTGCCTACTGCTCTCTTCTCCTTTTCTGGTGGGAAGGGGGCATCTGAGAGAAGAACTTTTAGGGACTTCTGGTGGCAAACCTCTCTTCCAGAAATCATTGTTTAACTCTTTGGAATGCTTTTAAGTAAATCACTAACGAATTTACATATTACAAATACAAGTATGAAAAGTACAGTTTCATGATTCCTAGTATAAACTTTGTAATATAAAATGACCAAAATGGTGGGGCTGCTAATAAAATTTTAATACTAATAAAAATAATAACATTATAGATAGTGCTCACTTATTTTGCTATTACTGTATGCCACATACTGTGTTAAGCACTTTGAACATAATCTTATTTAATCCTTATAACACGCCTGTAAAGTAGGCGGTAGTATCTTCATTTCTTTCAAATGAAGAAAAACTTAGACTGAAAGAGGTAAAGCAATTTGCTTAAAGTCACGTAGCTAGTAAATACATGAATGATACTCTAAAAAGATAAATAATAGGATCTTGATTTTTTTTCTTTTGCTACAACAGAAATTTAATTATTTTCCACCTATTTGTCTTGCTATCCAGCTATCATATAACATGCATATGTACTTCCTAATTCTGGTATTTCTAGCATGGTTTAGAAAAACTAGCAGAAGTAGGATCAAAAGTCAGCAAATCTGAGTATTAAGAAATTCTGTGTTTAAAAATAAATACTTATTTTATGACACATACATGAGTTTATTTTCTGCAGCAATGTTTTTGACAGAATGTTTGGAAACAATACAAGTTGGTAAATTAATTAGGCTAGCTAACCATTTACCAGAATATTATGCAGCTCTGGGCCGGCCCGTGGCTCACTCGGTAGAGTGCGGTGCTGATAACACCAAGGCCACGGGTTCGGATCCCATATAGGGATGGCCGGTTTGCTCACTGGCTGAGCGTGGTGCTGACAACACCAAGCCAAGGGTTGGGAACCCCTTACCGGTCATCTTTTAAAAAAAAAAAAAAAAAAAAAGAATATTATGCAGCTCTGAAGAATAAACTGTTACTCCTTACCAAAATGTGGAAAGATATTCAGTATCTATTTATTTATAAAAGCAAGGATCAACACATTGCGTATAACATTCTATTTCTTTAGTTAAAAGCAGGGGGATTAGTATCTGTATTTATATTTGCTGTGTAAACATAAAGAAACTTTGAATGAACATGTAGGAAATGGAGAGTGGTTTCCGTGGGGCAGGGGCTACAAAGACCAGCAAATGGCACACAAGGACTAAAGGTGACTTTTCACTATATACCATTTTATACTTGCTGTTTTTGGAGCCCTAGAATGTAATCTCTGTTTAAAAAATAAAAATAAAAGCATTCAAATGCTTTTAAAAAAGTGAATGCTTTAATGGGGTATTATTCAGAATTTAAAGTTATGACTCAGATTGCTCAGTACTGGCATCAAGTTGAGGTCAGTTTAAATGAAGAAGGTTGAGTTTTGATTTCTGAAAGACGTGGATGAAGAGGAAACGGCACATTTTGGAGCATGACGTGAGGTTACTTCAAAAAGTTCATGGAAAGATTGTATTATCTTTCAACTCTATTTTTCCACAAACTTTTTGCAGTACCCTCATATATCCCACGGCATCAGAGGTTGAGGGGATTACATTGAGGAGAGTATTTAAAATCTAAACGTGTCATGGGCACCTGGGCAGTGGGGAGGCAGATGGGGAACAGGGAAGAGTTGTTAAGGGGAGGAGAAGGGTAAATCTCTGCCTGCTCTACAGTTTTGCCTGGGTCCCTGGGAGTTTTATTGCTCAATGCTGACCTCGCCAGGCCTGCACTCAGAGAGAGGACTTCGGAAGCATGTATGGAAACTCATTCAAAAGCATGACACTAGGCAACTTGTCACCAAACCTGGAAGTGGAGTGGAAACAAAGATGGAGGATGTGGGAGAAAATGCCTAAGATTTCTGCTGAACATTGGAACCATTTCCTTGGCACGAATTCACAGCCATAAAATACAGGTCATGATAGTTAATTTTTAAATATGAGGTACAGAAGAAATAAGAAAGGAAAATAGGGACCTTCAAGAAGTTACAGAAAATCACAGTTCTGAATTAGTTTTTTTAAAAAAGTGGCTGTCCAGGACAGGGATCAAACCCTGGACCTCGGTGTTAGCAGCACCATGCTCTAACCAACTGAGATAAGTGGTCAGCCCCACAGTTCTGAATTATGAACTAGTATTGAGACAAGATGACAGATGAGGTAATACCATGTGTAACATGGTGGAATCTTTCTAGAAAATGATCGTGGGGTCATTCCAAATTTGCTTTCTACATGATAGAGTTAATGGAGGACTTGACCACTAATCTGTTTATCAACAAGGAGAATACTGATCTCAAGAAGATGACATATTGCAAGGTGCTTCTATAGTGCAAAAATGAAAACCTTTAGGCCTAGAATTAATTAGAGCATAATTCTGTGAGGAGAAAAATATGACTAATAGTGGTGTAGTCACTTGCAAGCATCCCATTCCCCTGCCTTACAATCAACAACAGTCGTACACCACTTGCCTAAAATATGAATCCTCTCAGGCATGAGTGAGGTTTCCTCATCACTATGCAAGGTTACAGATCTTTACCAGGTTATTCAATATCAAGTTATACTACGTACTGCAGTGACATCTCCAGTAGAAAATTAAACTACCCAGAGGAAGAATAATGTAACCCTTTGTCTGGATTAGTTTCCTAGTTATGCACCACTTTATGAATCAGAAAAGTTCAGAAAACTTTATACTGAGAAATAGAAAACAGGTAAAACATGAAACAAAGTTTCATGAGTCCTCTTCCTCTCTTATTTCAATACTGGGCATAGGAAACATAATGAATTTATGGATATTCAAAATCACTTGGAGGGTTTCTCAATCTCTGCTTTATTTATTGACATCTTGATCTGAATAATTCTCTGTAGTGGGGGGGCTGTCCTGTGCACTGTGATGATGTTTCACAGCATCCCTGGCCTCTACCTGCTAGATGAAATCACTTGGAGGGTTTCTCAATCTCTGCTTTATTTATTGACATCTTGATCTGAATAATTCTCTGTAGTGGGGGGCTGTCCTGTGCACTGTGATGATGTTTCACAGCATCCCTGGCCTCTACCTGCTAGATACCAGAAGCACCCTCCAGTTGTGACAATCAAAGATGCCCCTAGAAATTGCCAAATGTCCCCGGGGGGTTAAAATTGCTCCTGTTTGAGACCTACTGACTCAGAGGTTTGCCTACTTTTCTAACTCCTGATGGTAATAGGTAGGAGAAACATAACCTCATTCAACAGAAATGACACTCAACTAAGGAAGTAAATGCAAGGGTTCTCATTATGGAAAACCACTTATCAAATTGATGTATTCCCTTCCCTACCATACACACAAAAAGCCCTAGTTCGCCAAGGCATTTTCTCATAGAATGCCTACGCAGAACTAAGACTTCCTACTGCCTTAGACTTCCCCCACAAAAGACAAAAAAAAAGCCAAAGAGAATTCATCACACAAAAGTACCAGTTATCATACCAGATCTTTCCCTGGAATCTAAAACACCCTCTGCTATGGAACAAACCATAGTGAATAGCAAAGGAGAAAAGAACTCACTGTTTCTGGAAGTGTTTTTTCGGAATTTTGTCAGGTCAACGTGTGGTGGTCTGCTGGGTTTTGGTGGAGGTGGACCCAGGGTAAACAAGGGGGGCAATGGCTTCTGCTTTGGCATGGCTGGATTCTTGTCTTCCTTTTCCTTCTCTTGACCTTGTCCCCATGGCCCCCCCACAGTCAGCTTAGAAGGTTCCTTAGGGAACTTGGCAGGAGGAGCCCCAGAGGCCGACTCCTCCTGGTTCATTTTGTTCAGGAAGATGTTCTTAGCAGCATCTATCTTCCTGTCTTTCTTTTCTTCACCATTTTTGGAGAGGCCTGGGCTGCCTCTGTTCGCAGCAGGTTTCAGCACCACTCCAGGAAAAGGTGAACTAGATGTGTTACCTCCATGGTCCTTATTTTCTGGGTTTTCCCATGGTAGATTTAAAGGGCTGCTTTTGGACCTGGCTCCTAGGGGAGTTGGGGATCCTTTCTGTGGAGTCACGTTCTTAGCGGGACTCTCGTCTTCATGGGAGTCCTCTGTACTCAGGGATGGCTTCTGGCCAAAGGTGGGTCTGGGGAAGAGGGCCTTGGGGTCATGATCTTGTGAGGCAGATACAAGCTTGCCTTTGACTCCAGCCAACTTTGGGAACACTTGCTTCTGTTCATTTTCTGGGGGTGGAGGAGTAGGCCCAGGCTTTGGGCCTGGTGGCTTTAAGTCACAGTCTTGGTTTACACTGTGAAGTGATGGCTTATTCCCAGGAGGCCGGGGAAACACAGGTTTCGGATCTTCTTTGGGCAAGATGGTGGGCTTGGGGCCTACAGGTTTCAGAAATCCCACTTTCACCTCAGGGTCTCTGGTGGCCGCGTTTGCTGGTGTTCCAAATCTTTGGCCCACTCCAGTAGACTTTAGAAAGGGGGGTTTGGGCTCCTTGTCAGGCTTTTCCTCAGAAGTTTTCACCCCCACAGGTGGCTTTGGGAACCCAAACTTAGGTACGTTGCTGGGTCCTGAAGGAGGGCTGGAATTTCCTTGGTTGTTGAATAAGTTCTTTTTTGCTTGTATTCCTGAGGGTAAATTTTGCCCTGCAACTTTGAAGGGTCGGCTGTTGACGGAAACCTCCTCTGTTGGGTTGTCCCCTGTGTTAAACTTCGCCATGAGGGACTTCACATCTGCTTTTCTATCCTACAAGCATAGGGAACAAAAACTGACTGAGAGCCAGAAGTCTTAATTGCACAGTTTAAAATACTGTACCTTAAAGGGCTTCCTGGTTTGAGGCCCACGCGTTGCTGATTGGTTAGCAAGATGTCGCAACATTTATCGTCTTCAATGGCAAAATAAATTGTGAGAGTTTCTTGAAGGGGAGGGCTATTGTGCATGTCCTTTTTCTTTTAGTCATCTTAGCCTGACTTACTCAATTTTGCTGAAGTAACAACTTACTTTCTCTCTTTTCTCACTGTTTCTCTAGCTATCTTGTTGAATTTACTCTAACTTGGTATTTATTTATTTGTATTTGAAAAAATATGGAAGTGACTTACAAATGACTTCTTCCATGTTTTACAATGGAGACTCTGAAATAGAAATGAAAGTAAGCTCTTCTGTAAATTTAAGCTGCATGCCTTATACAGCATGGCTATATTTAACATCTCTGTGGTTTGCATGAGTTTTCTTGTCCTATCCACATTTAAGGTCTGTTTGCTAACAGGGATATGTGGGCAGAATTTATAACTAAGTAATGAAATGAGTTTTTCTACTTATTTATAAATATTTAGTGCTAATGATTCTACAGTATCACTTTCAGGATTTGTCTTGACTGTCTAGAGGGCATGGCTTGTAGACACACAAGGAAGGTAAGGAAGTAATAGGGACTGGCTGGGAAGTCTCTTCTCCAGAACTTTCTTTCCATCAGTCTCGTCTCTTCTATAATGACATTTGTCACTCCTCCTCAGAGGTCCTGTTACAGAGTCTCTGCTGTCTTTGTCTAAAATTAGGGTATTACTTGGCAAAGATAGTAGGCTCTCATCTTTCTCTGCGAATATAATCCCATTGTGTTTGCTCTTTAAAAAGCAAGTGGTTGGAATTTTCTAGTTTTTTATTTTTTTTTAGAAATATTTGAAAATCTGAGGCTTAAAAAACATCACTAAGTTGCACATGTGGCCATGGCAGTTTCTCTTTTCATACTTTAAAATTCACCTAGAAAATGTTTTCTTACTTCTCACCCCTCCCCCTCCAATCATTGCCACACACCCAAACATGTTTCATCTTTCAGGGCTCTGCTCAAATACAACAAAACCCAGATCCTGTTCAGCTGGGAAGGTTTACTACCTCCTCTCAACTCATGTAGCACGTCAGGTGCTTCGACATACCTCTGTGTTAATAAGAACCACCACTTAGTGGGTAAATACGTCTGCTTGATTCTCCATCACCCCTTCTCATTCTTACAGCAGTTGTAAGTGAATGGCATTATTTAAGTCCACTTTACAGGAAAGAAAAGTGAGGTTGAACCTGCAGGAGGATGACATGGAAAAAGCATAGGAACTGGGTTTGAATCCTAGTTCATTTGTGGAGCCTCAGTTGCATAATCTATAAAATGGGCATAATAACAACATCTGCCAGAATTGTCATGTGTGTTATGGGTGGAATTTGTAAAATGCCTGCTTGGCTCACAGCATGGGCTCAGTATATGGAAACTTATTATTAGAACTGTTCAGTAGCCAGGGACTGTGAACATAGACAGGCAGACTCAGGCGTGTTGAAGGCTCCAAATTGTCTTGTTCCTTTTGTATCCCCACAACACCTAGACCAGGGCCTTGCACCCTCAGGATTCTAAGATGTGCTTGGGGAAGGAAGGTTGGTATTGAGCTGCATGCTATGCATAATGACTTTACAAGAAATGATGCCCTCAGCAGGAGTTTCTCTCCATACCACACTATAGTGCATGAGGATTTGTAGGGTGGGGCTGAGAGCATACACAGCAGGAGAGAACCTAACAAGAACAGCAATTTCCAGCTTGAATTTTGTACCTTTGATTTACTACCCTGATTCTGAGTCTCTGAGAAAAGCTTGTTTTCTACCTTGCTTTCCTTTACCACTTTGCTCTCTCTATAATTTCCTCAAATCCTCAAGAAATCCCCGAAGGCAACAGGTAGGAAGACAGCAGAACTAGGGAGAGTCTGTGTGTTGGGGGAAGGCATAAGAGAAGGTGGGTCTTGTCTGAACCTCTAAGGAGATCATAGCTGCAGAGGACTCCAAACCTTAGCACAAGAAACATAAAGAAGTATCACGTAAAAAAAATGTGCTTTCTACCTGGAAGGAAGTCTGTCTCTGGGGAAGGTTTCTTTTATTCCAAAATTATTCTATATTTTAGAATTTATATTCTAGATCTATTATTTATTCTAGATTTATAACAAGAGGATGCATAGCTGAGTGGTTAAACACACAGACTCAGGAGACAGCCTGGATTTGAATCTTACTAGCTATTTAACCTCTGGCAAGGAACATGAATTCTCTGGATTTTAATTTGCTCACCTGTCTAATGGACATAATAATGCCTAGTAATAGAGCTTCTAGGAAAATTAAACAAGTTCATATTTATATAGCACTTTAAGAGCACTTGACACATAGGAGGGTTTGCTGTTTTTGTAAAGCAGGTGAAACCTTAGAAATCATCTAGTCCCTCCCCCCGCTCCCTTGTATTGGTGAGGAAATGGAAACCAAAGGATTTAAGTGACATTCTACTTAGTTATAGCAACTTGACATCTTGAATTTCATGGAAGAAAACCCTAACCCATCGTCAAACCTCATGTCCTGTTTTTAGTTTAGAAAATATGAAAATGGTAGATTTGGAATTGGAACTTAAGTCTGGTTGCCGCCAACCCAGACCCAGGAGGCAGTGCAGTGTTGAAGTTACTAGCACAGGCTCTGGGGTTGTTGACTTGGGCTCAAATCTTGACCTCACCACTTGCTAGCCATGTGATTTATCTAGCAGGTTACTTAATCTCTCTGAAGCTGTGTGCAGTGTTGAAGTTACTAGCACAGGCTCTGGGGTTGTTGACTTGGGCTCAAATCTCGACCTCACCACTTGCTAGCCATGTGATTTATCTAGCAGGTTACTTAATCTCTCTGAAGCTGTTTTCTTCATCTCTCAAATGAGAATAATATCAGTACTGATTTCTCACAGGGTTTCTGTTCGTTTGCTTGTTTGTAAACAAAGTCATCTGAAGCAGTTTGTTATTATTTCCACCTGTTGTGTGCCTCCATAATGCTTAGCCCAAATTACTCACAAACATTGCTCTCTAATTACACAGATACAGTTGTAGAAATTCTCTTCAGAGAAATCAATTTCCTTTAGCTCCCATCTATTTTGCTTTTCTTCAGAGTTATATACCTCACTGGTTTAAACATACATTTGTCATAGCCCCTGGGAAGATGGCTGTTAGCAAAAATGCTTTCGTTACATCTCCTGGATTTCCAGTTAACAAGTCCGGATTGCAGATGATCTTTTTTAGTTTTAGCAATCTACGTAAAGGTAATGAATCAAGTGCAAAGCTACACAAAGACTGAGATGGCACAAAGGACAGATATTAAGAAACTATACACAGTGAAGAAATATTTCCTTTTGTAGCCAGTTCATCTCCATAGTTTCATACGGAAAAACTATATGCTATCTCGGTTATTGGGGACAGGGTTTTGTTTTGGATTTTTTATCATAGTATTCATGCTTTTTAATATCTCTTGGATGTTATGCTAATCCAGTGGTTCTCAACTGGGGGCAATTTCCCCCCAGGGGATGTTGGGCAATGTCTGGAGGCATTTTTAATTGAAATAATCAACTGGGGTGGGGGTGCTATTTGCATCTATGGGTAGAGGCCAGGGCTGCTGCTTAACATCCTGTCCTACAATGCACAGGACAGCCTCCCACCAGAAAGAATTATCAGTCCAAAATGTTGAGTTAATGGAAGCTGGCTGAAAATACAGTACTTGTAACAAAACCCTTCACAAATATGGAGGTGGCAAGTTCCACTATAGGTAATGAAACTGCAGTAAACCTTTTAAATCCCCATTAACACTGTTTAAATATTTAGGTACTTAATGAACTATAATTCATGTACTTAATACGTGTACTCTGTTTTTCCAATGAGATGTAAAAGTAGGAACCTGCTTTTATTTCCCCTTCTCAATAACAGCATCCTCTCCCCTTACCAAACCACCCAGCCAACACTCCCCTAAGGCCTGGCACATTTCTTTCTACAATATGCGTTAAACATACTGGCTGATAGACTGACTTTACCTGAATCTCACTAAGATGGATCACACAGATGGTAGTTGGGGAAATGATTTCCTTTGCTTCTTTGTTGAACCTCAGTCATGAATCTATTCTTATGAACTCTCTAACAGAATCTCTATTTCATTGCAAACAAGCTGTGATGGATTCCAGGTGACTGAGCCTCTGAAGCTGGAGAGAGCGGCAGGCCCCTCTTCAACAGGATGTGGGAACTTGTCTCTCACCGCAAATTGAGTTCTTGGGGGCAGGAGCAGCCTGCTGCAGGCTCTGGGCGAGGGCATGGGTGGGAGGAGCTGGGGGCGGAAGCAGCAGTGGTGGCCCTGATTGTGGCAACCCCCTTATGTTTTTTGTGACTTGTGAAGGTGGAGATGGAACTGCAGCAACCCCAGTAGCCAGCAATGCCCCATCCCAAGGACCTCTTGTCGAGAGACGTAATGTAGTAAGAAGAAAACACCTGGCATACACGGGGTCTCTGAGAGGGTGCGTGTGCTTGGCCATTTCCCCTCAGAAGACTACCTGAGTGCCTTGCCAGAAGCCTCTGCAGATGCCACCGTGCATCATCACTGGCTCTGGTGTTATATCCTGGCACCTGCTGCTCTGCACTCTTTCTTTGTTTCTGCTGTGCTCTCCCTTCTAGGGTGAATTGCAGTAGAGGAAGCAAAGATAGTTTAGCAAGTGGTAAAGCTTAGATGGTGATGGCACCCCTCCCGAATGCTGTCACCTTGTATTCTCAGGGTATAGTGATCAGTTGGATTTTTGTGTGCCTTCTGTCTTTAAGACCAGGAGCTTGAAAATTGCCATCATTCTACAAATTAGAACCTTCCAACCTTCTCTTCCTGGTTACCCTACCAAGTAGCTCCTGGCTAAATGGAGT